GCTTCATCTCACACTTGCTTCATCTTACACTCACACTCGCTTCATCTCACACTCGCTTCATCTTACACTCACACTCGCTTCATCTCACACTTGCTTCATCTTACACTCACACTCGCTTCATCTCACACTTGCTTCATCTTACACTCACACTCGCTTCATCTGTTCACACTCATGTAATTTCTCTTTTGTTTTTTGTGTGCGTTTAACGACACTTGCTACACAATTAGGTCACAAGTGGGGAAGATAAGAGATTCTGCAGTTTTCCTCGTTTCGACATTCATTATTTCCTGATGTTGATGTTCCCAATTTTAGATTACCAAGCCTATGCTCCAGCTTCATTTTGTAGTTTAAATCAAACTCCTGTTTGCTAAATTAAGTTGAAAGTCCAGAAATATGTTGTTGAACTGCTGTCTTTGTCTTTTTTAAGTTGTGAACTGGCTTTACCAACTACTTTTCTCATGATTTCAGAATTCCTGCAAATGACGATTGGTGGCCTGAACTATGACAGCAGAGATATGGTCATCGATGTTTTGGAGACTCTGTTGGATAAGGTCAGGGTTTGAAAGTTATTGTTTCTCCGGAGTATTATTGTGGTGAACACTGCCTCGGTGCTGCATAGTTAAGTTTTAACCTCTTTTGACAGAACCATGTTGTCCATTGTGCACTCTTTCCTTAAATACACTTTGGACAAAATAGTTCTGAGGGGGGCTCTCGTGACTTAGAGGTTAAGGTGTTGGCCTCTCATTCAAAGGTCCTGGGTTCGAATCCGGGTAGCGACCGAAACACATTTTGTTCTCTAAAATTGTCTCCTTTCCTGCTCTCTAGCAATATTCTGTCGTCTGTTTTCGTCTCCACTTTCTGCCTCCTCCCCCTCACCTCCTTTTACCCCCCCGTTGGGCTCCTGACTCTTTCTGGAGCTTTCTACTGCTACTCCTTGGCTCCTCCTTACTGCTGTCTTTCAGCCCCACCCCTGATCTTCTGGTAGGAAAGATCTACACCAAGCCTTCTCGGAAAAGGGTGAACTCTGAGGTCCCGTGTTCAAGTTGCGCACGTTAAAGATCCCTTGGTGGTCCAAAATCGATAAGAGTGGGCTTCGGCCGCCACCCGGGCAAAATTCAAAATTTCCTGCCACACTGAAAAAGTTTAATGTGGCCTGCGCGCTCATATTACCTTCTGCAGTTGCTTTCGCAGTAAAACACTTGCCCAAAAAAAAATATATTTCTGAGGCGACGAGATCTCGAAAAGAAATCAGTGACAAAACATCAATGGGAACAAATGTCTTGAATGTTCGCTGTTACAATAATAATAATAGTAATGTAGATCATTTCTATAGCACCAACTCCCGTGTGAAAACAGCTCTAGGCGCTTTACATAAATATATGTACGAACAATATTCACACACGCTCAAACACGCACACACGTACACATATGCACATACACTCGCACACACACACACACATCTACTCACTTATTACACGCGCACGCTTACACATCATTATGTTATGAAATGAGCTCGCTCAAATGCATAATAATAACTGTTTGTTTCCCTCGCCAGGTGGTGAAGTGTCCCACCGTCACCAAAACGGCCAAGGTCAAGTTATTCTCGGAGCACATTCTGCGTCATCTCTGTGACCTTTTCAGCTGGAAGGGGCCGAAGGCGTGGGTGGCGGGCGGCAAGAAACGCCTGCAGGCGGAACAGGACGCTGCGGAGGTGAGATGAGAACACACTTACCCACCTGTTGTACTTTTGGAATCTGGGTCACCTCTCTCAGGTGCACTTCCAAAAGTTATTGTGTTTGGTTGGTTGGTGGGTGCTCTTGTGTGGTTTGCTCCTTCTTTCCTATCGAATGTCTAAATTTCCTTATCTTTCCTCCTTCTTCTATGTGTTTTGTTACTCTCTAGTAACACCTCTATTCCTCGGCACTTATATGACCTAGTTATGTTGAAAGTGCGATAAAACGCTTACTAGAACAAAAAAATAAGTTGTTGCTTTTCAGTGTAAAAAGTTTTCAGATATCTGTAATGGTGCTTCAAGTGTGGCATTATTATTCTGTGACTGAAATGACGTTAAATGATCTTTTTGTTTTGCAAGTGCTGTAAAACTTTTACTCAACCTTAAGTTGTGGACACTCTTCCTTGTAGGTGGTTGGCGGGTGCTCTGGTGTGGTCTGCTCCTTTTTTCCTATCAAACAACTATCGTCTTTATCTCTCCTCCTTCTTTTTTATGTTTGTTACTCTCTTGTAACACCTCTAATCTTCGACACTCATATGACCTTATTGTGTTGTAAGTGCGGTTATACTCTTACTAAAGCTAAAACTGTCTTCCTTGCAGATGGAAGACGACGAGGGAGACGACACCACGGAGGACAGAGAGCTCATCGCCGAGGTGGCTCACAGCTTCCTGGTCGAGCTCTGCTGCTCTCGCAAAGACGGCATCAGCTTTTACGACAAAACTGTCGGCACTGGGAAAAGGTGCGTGTGGCGACTGTGTGCCTGGTTGTCTGTGTCTCCTGTCTGTGCTTCTCTTGTTGTAAGTTTGCCAACTGTCCCAAATTTCCCGAGACTGTCCCAGATTAGTTTCAGAAATATCAGGGGAAAATGCTACGTTTAAAAAAATTAAAGACTTGCTGACAGGTTTCAGTCAATTTTAGTAAACAAGTTGTAGAATTTCAGGTTTGCTTCCTCTTTCCTGTGTGTGTGTGTGTGTGCATTACTATATATATTGCATGAGAAGAAAGGAAGTTGTAAGAAAGATTTTGAAAAAATGGGTATTCCAATGTAAAGCGCATTGAGCTACTTTTTTGGAAATGCGCTATATAAATGTTATATATTATTATTATTATTATTATTATTTCCTATCAAATATCTATCGTCTCCCTTCCTTCTTTTTTTTGTGTTTGTTACTCTCTTGTAAAACCTGTGTAATCTTCAGCACTTTCAATATGACCTTATTGTGTTGCAAGTGCCGAAAAATTCTTACTAAAAAATAATGTTTAAAAAAGTATCATGACAAATGCTTCATTTTCAGGAATCTGAACCAGCTCCTGAGCCATTTCCTGGACGCTCTGGTCAAGCAGCTGGACAACAGCCACGTGGCGGATCTGGTCGTGCGGATAAGTCAGGCGTGTCCCGACCAGGTCTCTCGTGTCATGGCCCACCTGGCGCCTTCGCTGTTGCCACGCTGGTCGGGGAAATGGGAGCTCCACATGGACTTTGTCGTCTCTGTGAGTCATGGGGAGGGGACGGGGG